TGGGGCAAGGAGAAAGGAGTGGGAGGCCACATCACTATAGTCACGTCAACCACTCATTTCACTTTAATTAAAAAGTTTTCCCCACAATGTTATTTGATTCAGTAGTTTATTTACATTATTAAAATTAATGCCAATGTTTGAGCTTTAATTTTTTTAAAATTTTATGCAGCATTTTTTCAGGTTTTTATGTTTGCAGTAGGTACTATGTGAGGCATAGGTACATGTATGTAATAAAGTCTAATCATGTTTGTTGTATGTATAGGCTTTTTTAAAATGAAGGAGTTTGATTATTCATTATTGAGAAGTTTGTTCTTCCACGTATTATTGCTGAAGCATTGACGTTCCCTGTTGAATTATATTGTTGAAAGTTAATAATTGTAAATAACTTTACTGATATGTTAAAGACCACAAAAGCTTTGTTCATATTGTTTAAGAAATTGAAACTCCAATGGTGCAATTGGTTAGTGCATGGTACTTAATATATTGTTTAAAAAATTAGGCATAAAAAATTAGGCAGTTGATAGGATTATCAGGCTTTCAGATGCAGTTGTTTTGCTGGATTTTGTTTTGCAAAAATATGTTCAAGAGTAAATGGCTTACTTTCAATCTTATTGAAAACATTAAGATCACTTACTGGATCCATCTTTAAATGTAACTATGCCCTTTGTGATTTAATTGTACATGAGTTTTCCTTTAGTGTTACTAGTACTGATTGCTTTAAAGCAAGACTGTTTCTTCCACTTTGCTCTTACAAAGTTATATTTGAGACGTGCGGTTAGTTTTATTAATCTTTATTTTAAAATGTTTAAAGTACCTTGAATTTTAAAACATCAAATGCTCAATATGATAAAGATGATACACTTGTTCTGGTAAAAATGTAACAAATATCTATAAGTAAATGCATGTATATATATTTTTTAAGAAGAAGGAAATCCCATCTAACCCTGATTCCCTCCTGCTAGACATCTTCCCCAGAGAGCTTAAGATAGCATAGTACAGTGAAACATTCATACCAATGTTTACAATTGCACTACTTGTTAAATCCTGGAAAAAGCTTGTATGTCCATCAACAGTTGATTGGAGAAAGAAAATATATAATGGAATACTACTATGCTATAAAGAGTGACAGTTGTGAGACATTCCTAGGAAATGGATGCACCTGGAAAATACAGTGTTGAGTGAAATAAACCAGACACACAAACTTGAATGTTGTATGGTGTCTCAGTTGAGTGAGGTAAAGTAAAACTAATAAGGATGGGTACCAGGTGATAAGGGGAAATATCTCTTGTAATATGCAAGTGGCCCAAGTGGAAAGCACAAGAGGTAAGGGGGAAGGGAAAATAAGTGTATGCCATATGCAGAAACTTAGTAACTTCAGTGTATACATGATATCCCATAACATGTTAAGAATAATAATATCAAGGATGAATAATAGGATAGGGGGAGAAGAGAAGGAGAAGACTTGGAGAAGAGAAGGTAGGGGAGGAAAGAGGAAATGAATTTTAAAGAAACTTGAATTTTAATCCCCTTCAGGTGGTTGGTGGTTGTACGCTATATGAACTATAAGCATACTAATACAATAAAGAAATTATTTTATTTTTTGGTAGAACTAAGGATTGAACTTGGGCCCTTGCACTTGCCAGGCAAGCACTTATTCTACTGAGCCATCTCCCTGGCCCCTAAAAAATTTAAAAAATGGAAAAGCATTGGGACTGTGGCTCTGGGAGAACACTTGTCTAGCATGCGCAAGGCCCTGGGTTTAATGCCTTGTACCACACACAAACACATGTATTTTTAAAAACTTTTACATTGTTTGAAGGATGATAACCAGTGCAAAGCTTAACACTGGCTTTGCGGGATGCAGTGTTGCACACCCGTAATTCTGTCCCTTGGGAGGCTGAGGCAGGAGGATCACTGAGTTTGAGGCCCGCCTGAACTACCCAGTGAGCCATAGATCTTGCTTTTATATGTTCTGATAGTAATTGTGTCTATTTGTTAGCATATACCTCTTACTATAAGATCTAAATGGGAAAGTATCTTATTTTCCCCTAAATGTTCTCTTATACTCTGTCTTTGGTGCTTAAAAACTTGATCTTTTTTACCTTTAGTCACTGAAAAAGGTTCCCACCTATCTATATTTTAAGTGTCTTGATTCTGTTTCTAGTCTTCTCTGGCCTGTTTTCCTAGGAGTTTACTAATCTTTACCTAAAATGAAATATACTTTATGAAAATAAGTATAAGAAATCTTACCTCTTTTATCACTTTCTGAGAAAAGAATTTTCAGAAAATGTAAAATC